GAGGAATCGAACCCAGGGCCTCAGGCTTGCAAGGCAAGCGCCCTACCACTGAGCTAACTTCCCAGCCATAATAATAGAAATTTGAAGTGGAAATATTGAATTGAAACTATGTATGCCTGTGTGCTGGTCCTGGAGCTTGAACTCAGGACCTATGCTCTGTCTCTGAGCTTTTTTGCTCAAGTCTAATGCTCTACTGCTTGAATCACACCCTACCTATACCTTTTTGGTAGTTATTTGGAGATAAAAGTGTCACAGACTTTCCTGCCCATTGTGGCTTCAAACTAATCTTCAGATCTCAGCCTCCTGAATAGCTAGGATCACAGGAGTGAGCATTTGGCCCTTGGCTTGAAATAGCTTTAATATTACACAATTTTGATTATCTTACAGAGAATAATTATTGAACTGTGAACATGGCTTACATTGTTTCTTTGTTTTTTAAACTAGGCAGTTAAGTAACTGAGGTAATTACTATAGCTGTTATTATTATTACCTTTTCACAAGTGAGGAATTCTGATTTTGAGAGATAAACTTGACTTGTTAGGTCAAGTAGTTTGTCCCTGGAAAGACAATCTAACCCAATCAATATTCTCTTACTATTGCGTACAGTTATGCTATGATTTCTCTCTACACAGCCTGTTTGACCTCCGTCTTCTTCCTCATTTTCTGAGCAACTCATATACCCATCTTCCTCTACTATTTTGAAATTCTCCTTGACTCATATTATGCTTACCCCTTCCAAAATGAGATGTCACCTTTCTTTGAGTTTCTGTGACAAATGTATTAATTCATTTTGTGTAACTTACTCTCTTTGTCTTGCTTTGTTTGTGAAATGCTGACATTATCTACAACAGTGAAACTTTTCCTGAGGCAAAGTAGAGAATCTTGGCTTTGAGTCTCCTATAGTGCCTGGTACAATCGCCTTACATCTAGCAAGCGCTTAGTAAATATTTATAGACTTCATTTCAGCAGGTCAGATAGTCATATTGATTTTCATAGTTACCAGTGTCAGGAGAGTGCTATAAGCTGTAGAAATAGTTCAAGTTAAGAAAAATTGGCATGTTTCTGATTTCTGTCTTCTTCTTCCCAAACATAAAACACAGCCCAAGATAATGAACTTCTCTGAGCAAATGATGTTGCAAAGTTCTTGTCAGTTCACTTCCTATGACAGAAAGACTGTATCCTTAGGATTGCTGGTAGTAATCCAAATTAAAGGTTAACTAACTATCTTGGTGGGAAGTCAGACACTGCAATTATTCTGAATATTTATTCTAATTTCCTCTAATAATTTGAAAGAGCTTTGAAATGTGACAATGTTGATGCAGTAGGACTAACACCACCATATCTTATTTGTTTCCCATAATGTTCAGTTACCTCACAAAGTATTTGTGAGGCAACGCAGTACAGAGGCGTGGCTTTCAAACTTTTTGTGTCTGATTTTTGGAAGATTGTTAAAACACATATTGCAAGCCAGGCGCCAGTGGCTCACTACTGTACTCCTAGCTATTCAGAGGCTGAGATCTGAGGATTGCAATTCAAAGCCAGCCTGGGCAGGAAAGTAGTCCATGAGACTCTTATCTCCAGTTAACACCAGAAAACTAGAAGTGACACTGTGGCTCAGGTGAGCTGAAGAGCTGAGGGACAGCGCCCAGGCCCAGGGTTCAGGCCCCACGGCC